AGAGGGAGAGAAAGAGATTTCTCTCGATAATACTTGCGTTAAAATAATAAAAGGTAGGTAGGTAGGTATAGGTAATAAACGTTGAATAAATTGCAGAGATTCCATTGGGTGAGAGATGAAGTAAAAGTGAAAAGTGAAAAAAAAAATTGGTCAAAAAAAGGAGAAAATTCGGGCGTTCAAATAAAAGTGGTAAAAGTCGGTAATCCTTGGTGTGTGCTTAACTTCCGTGATCCCCCGAACCGGCCAGTGCCCGCTGTATTTCCCTTCCCACCAGGGCGCTGTACGAGCTCTCGTACTGCCCCGGACCGAACAGCTCCGTCCGGTGCTCCTCGAGGTAGGCGAGGACGTCGGCGAAGTAGGCGACCATCTCGCCGAGGGCAAATTCGGACAGCTCCACCACCAACTTCGCCTCTGCGAGCAGCCGACTGAGGAGGCCGAAGAAACGGAGCAGATGGACCGGGCCGTAGTGGGCGGTGTAGTCGACGCGGTTCGCCTCCGGATCGGCCCGCTCCAGGCGTTCATCGGCGCAGGTGCTCACCAGCAGGCCTAGGACCAGTCGGACATCGAGTTCCTGCGTCAGCCGCTCGTGGGCCACCCGTTCGGAGCTGCTGAAGAGGAGGCCATCCTCGGCGATGGAGTTCATCGAGTGCTCCACGTTGAAGCTGCCCACCAGCAGGACATTAAAGTAGGTTCGCAGGAAGCGCTCCCCTACTCGCCAGCCCCAGCGTCGGCCCCCCAGCTCCTGAACTCGGTTCTGCTCCAGCTTTGCAAGCNGGCGGCGGCACTCGGGCGGTCATGTACTGCTGCTGAACGAACTTCCGGTCCTCAGCGAGGATGGTCGCCAGAGTGGTGGGCAGGCTGAGGTTCAGTCGCCGGCGGAAGATGATTTGCGGTGGTGGTGGTGGTGGTGGTGGGGCGGAAACAGAGGGAGTGGCAGAATTAGGAGGAAGATTAAATGGTTGGCCGTGATGAATGATCATCGGCGTCGCTGTTGCTGCTGTTGATGCCTGAGGTGATTGCTGTTGAATGAACGTCGTACTCTGTTGTTGTTGTTGCTGCTGCTGCTGTTGTGCAAGGTAGTGAATTGTTGGCGATCCAGTTGTTGACAGCAATGACATTGACGGCTGATGCTGCGAGTAATGCTGAATTTGAGGTTGCTCTGTCCTGATGATCTGCTGTGGCTGCTGCTGAACCAAATGCTGAGCCGGAGTGGAAGTGGAAGTAGTCTGCAGTGGTCGAGGGTGAATCAGCGAAAACTGTTGCTGATGTCGTGGTAGTGGTTGTGGTGATTGAGCTGCTCCACGAACGACAATGGTAGTTGCTGATGATGATAGCTGCTGCTGCTGCTGTCTTTGTTGTTGCTGTCCAATGGGCCGCTGAAGCAGTCGCTGCTGGCCGATGGAATGCTGCACCGGATGTCGAAGTGGAAGCGGAAAGGTTTGCTGCTGCTGCTGCTGCTGCTGAGGTGGTAGTGGTGGGCGAGGTGCAAATGCAGTCAGTGCTGCAGTTGTAGTTGCAGTGGCTGAAACGGAAACTGAAGCTGTTGATCGCTGGTGAGCTAAAGGAGGAGCAGCAGCAGTTGTTGGGCTGCTGACCAGCTGCGGTTGAATGCGAGAATACAGCTGAATGCTTTGATGCTGCTGCTGCTGAGGATTGGGCTGAATTACCGAAGTGCCACCGCCAACAGCAACCGCTGAAGGAACAGCCGTCCGTATCTGCACGTTGATGATGTTGCCACTCTTCAGGTCGATCATGTGGCGGACACTGGGGTTGCCGCTGCCGCCGCCCTGGGTGGGCACCAGAATGCTGCCGCCCTCTTTGCCGCCGTTTACGTTACCGCCACTGCTCCCACTCCCACCGTTTCCTTTGCCGCCGTTTTCATTGCCATTGGTCATGCTCATGTTCACCACCTTGAACTTGCCGGCGGTCAGCGTGGGGACGATCTTTTTGGTGGTATTGCTGGTGGTGCTGCTGCTGCTGCTGCTGCTAAGGATGCTGATGGTTTTGCTGCCACCGCCGCTGCTACCACTTCCGGTGATTTGTATTCGGCTCTGAGGTTTACTTAAGTTTATGGCGACGTTCTGACTGCTGGTGCTGGTGCTGCTGCTGCTGCTTAGACTGGTGCTCATCAGGCTCAAGTTGCCCGGAACCATCAGCGAAGAAGAAGAAAAAGATGAAGAAGAAGAAGATGTTGATGATAAGGGCACAGCAGAAGATGAAGTGGACGACGACGACGTCGACGACGGTGCAGGACCGGGCAGGACTATCGCCCGCTGGCTGACAATGTTCAGATTGTTGAGGCTGGTGTTGCCGCCCAGGTAGATCAGCTGCTGCTCCGGCTGGCCGGTGGCGCTGTTCACCGTCGTCCGGTACTGGTAGTACCCGAGAGTGGGCGTGCTAGAAGAAGTGGAGGAAGAAAAAGAAGATGATGTATCGATCACGTATTTGGTGGTAGTGGTGGTGGTGCTGCCGCTGCCAAAAGACGTCGAGGTCAAAGTGCTGTTTTGAGGACTGCTGCTGGTGGCCGTCGCAGTGGTGGTCGACAGCATTCGAGAGTACGTCTTCGGGATGATGGTTAGTGGTGTGAAGCTGATCTGCTGATGTGTTTGAGGCGGTGGCTGTTGTTGTGGTGGCTGTTGAAACAGTTGGGGCTGCTGCTGCAGCTGAGGTTGTGGCTGTTGCTGCTGCTGCTGCTGAACCTGCTGCTGCTGCTGGGGCTTTGGCTGTACCTGCAACGGCGGAGATTGAAATTGTTGAGGTGCTGGAAGTTGTGGTTGGGGCGGGGGCGGCGGCGGCGGCAACTGCAACTTCTGCTGCTGAGCCGCCACGGCGGCCACCGCCTGCAGGGCGGAAAAGGCCGACGAGTCATAGTTGCAGGGCGTTGGAGTTGGCGTGTGGGCAACAACGGTGGCAGAGGGAACAACTGAAGGTGAGAACTGCGGTGATGATAAAATTGTCGATGATGACTGAGAATGTCGACGAAGGTCAATTGCCTGAGCAGCTGATGCAGCAGTCGCCTCAAGTCTTCGAGCTCTGCCGTGCGTCAGCTGCCACTCCCTCTCCGCCTCCTCAATTCGCAGTCGCTCCAGCTCGATGGCGCTGTCCGGCAGACTAGTGGTCTCAGAGTCGTCGTCGTCGGCCTCGTTTCTAAAAAAGATGTCATCATCATCGTCATTACCAAGTCGCCTTCTCTGAATATGACGATTTTCCTCAACATTCTCCTCCGGTTCGTCACTTTCGCTGTCGGTGTTGCTGTGTCGGCCGTTGGAGCGCTTTGTCCGAGCTGGCGGCTGGTGATACTGGTGACCAGCTGGCTCATTAAATAGCCTCGAATTGCTGCTGCTGCTGCTTCCGCTGCTGCTAAAGTTGTCATCATCGTCGTCGTTGTCGTCGTCGTCATCATCATCAAAGCCGTCATCCATCATTGCCTTATTGTTATTCTTATCATTATCATCCTCATCATCATCGTGGTGTTCCAGTTGCATGCGCAGTCTTTGCATTCGTTTTGCTGCCTCTATTTCCGTCCTCTTTTGATATCGGCGCTGGGCGTATGTGCTTTTGGAGAATGTACGCTGAGGACTGTGTTCATTTGGTGGTGGTGGATGTCCGAAGTGAGCGCCAAAATTGGGACTACCTTTGTTCAAGTGGCTGCTGCTGCTGCCAAATGAAAAAGGTGACATCAAGTTTTGTTGGTTGTAGGTGTTGTTCTGGTACTCCAGCCGCTGCCGCTCAGCTTTGGACATCTTTTTGGGCGATTTTTCTAATAAAATATAAAAAGATTAGTTTAGTTTTAAAAACTTGTTATTGAAATTGCTAAAAATCTTACTTTTTGGCAAAGGCCGAGGGCTCAGTTGTAAATCCTTGGGCTTATTTTTGACGCCCTTCTTCCGACCTCTCTTGTTGCTGCCGTTTGCGGGGGAAATTGCAAAGCTGTCAGAGACGTCAGCAGCAGAAACAGCTTCTAGCTGTTCTGAAAGATCAAAATTTAAAGCCTTTTTGCCCTTTCCTTTTGTTGGCTTTGCCGGCGACTTGAGCGGCGTAGTCTTTGGTGCTTTGGCATTAGTCGTCTTAGACTTTCCCTTTCCCTTTCCCGGCCCGGGACTCTTTTTGTTAACCAGTGGAGTTTTTCGAACATAGCTTCGTTTTTTGGGCGTACCAGAGGTGTTTGCAGGCATGGCAACGGGTATGCCAAAGAGGCTGCCAATTTGTACGTTTGACTGCCCGCCAACAGCTGGAGGAGTGGTTGGGGCTGAAACCGGAACTGCCTTCTTCTTTTTGGCCGCTGCCACGACCACCACCTTCTTCTTCTTCGTCTTTGCCTTCTTGATGGGCGGCGAGAGCAGCGCCTTCTGCTGCTCCTGACTGCTGCTCGACATGGAGCGCTTGGCGCGGCATTTGACTGCAAGAAGGCAGCAAAAGAAAAAGAAAAAATTAGGCACTTAGGTTTAAGAAAAGCTAGCTAAGAAAGGCTTCTTCACTTACTCATGTCGTACAGATCGTGGAACTCGGGTTGAGGAGGAGGAGGCGGAGGAGGCGGAAGGGCCGGCGGGGGGAGTGGCGCAGCTGGTGGCGGTGCTTCTGGACTGGTCATCGTAGTTGTGATGGTGGTGGTCAAATTAGCTGTAATAGTTGGGGCTGAAGAAGAGGCGTTGGTAGCAGTGGCGCCCACTTCTGCCGAGGCGATTGGCTCTTCAGGCGCCAGAGGTGTGTCAGGTGCAGGAGCGAGAGCAGGCAGAACCGAGGGAGGAGGATTATTTTCAGCCGTTATAGATTCAGTTTCGCTGATGAGTGGTGCCTGGTGCTCCACTGCCACTGTCACCACTGTCACCATAGGCGAGCTCTCATTGAGGGCGACATTGTTCGCAGTCGCTGCTGCTGCTGCTGATGATGGTGCAGGTGTTGTTGATGTTGATGCCTTTTTTGCTGTTGATGGCAGAGCTGTTGCAGCAGATTTTTCGCTGGCGGTGTTTGTTGTTTTAGCGATTGCACCAGCTACCTCGGCTGCCTTGTTCTTTGCCGCAGTGCTCACTGCTAGTGCTGATGGTGCCGTTAATGTACTTTTACCATTGTTAATTGCATCAGTGGTGGCTGCTGCTGCTGCTGTGTGCTCGTTTTTGACAATGGTCACTTTAGGGATTTTGCTAGGTTTTCTCTGAGCAGGTACTGGTACTTTCTCCTCTTGCTTAGTGCTGCTGGTGGTTGCTGTTTCAGGAACAGTTGTTTGGTTATTGACTTTTTGGAAAATGAGCAGTTTTGAACTGTTGCTGGTTGTTGGCACGGCTTTAGGCTTTGACTCAGCAGACACATCAGATTCCACCTTGACAGCTTTGGTTTTGCCATGATTAGATGCTGCAGATAGAGAATGTTTTGCTGCTTTAACGTTTGATTTAGATTTGGCTGATTTAGGCTTAACGGTAGCATTTGGCTTAGCAGCAGTAGCAGCAGCAGAAACAGCAGCACTTTTGAGAGCATTTTTGACTTGGGCTGCTGCTGTTGCTGCTCCTGTTTCTTCCTTAACAGCTGCCTTTTTAGCCTTCTCACTACCATTAACTTTAGTGCCATTGGCCAACTCAGCTTCAGTCTCTTCTGTTTTAATAACAGCAGCCTTGAAAGCTTCTGTAGCAACTTCTTTTTCTTCTTTATCTTCACTTTTAGCCTTCTCAACTAGATTAGCTTCTTTTTCTTCCTCTTCCTCCTCCTCCTTATCCTTAGTTTCCTCATCTTTGGCTATTTCAGGCTCAACCTCAGTAGCAGCAGCAGGCGAACCCTTTTTCGAACTTTCCTCCTTCTTTCCTTTACCCGCCGATTGCGGCGGCTGTGGCCTCTTCCTCTTCTTCTTCGCCTTCTTCTTGATCCTCTTACCGGACACCGACCGGCCCTCCTGTTCCATCTTCTCCCGATGAGCTTCCTTCACCTGCCGGGCCCAGGCGCGGTTCTCCTCGGTCACCGGCCGAAGGCGGTACTCGCCGACGCGGGCGTCCCACCGGGACTTCCAGCCAATGTAATGGATCAGGTAGCGGTAGTGGATCGGGTGCGGGTAGTGGGCCGCATCCTCCGCCTGCTCCTCGGGGCTGATCAGCGAGTCGGGGACCTGGTCGGCGCGGAGGACGGCGAGGATGACGCCCTCGTAGGGCAGGCCGCGGAAGGTGCAGAAGATGCGGGCGCCCTCGCTGTACTTGGGCGGTGGTAGTGGTGGACCAGGACCAGGACCAGGACCAGGACCAGGACTTGGCTGGTTGTTTGTACTACTGCTTTTGGTTGGTTTGGGAGTTGTGGGAGTGGTAGTGGGAGTGGTGGTGGTGGTAGTGGGAGTGGTGGTAGAAGGGATGATGGATGAAGAAGTGGTGGTAGTGGCTGCTGCTGTGGTGGTGGCAGCGGTAGA